AACCTAACGTTCACCATTGCCCTCCCCTCTCCTGACTTGGAGATACGGCATCTCGTCACAATCCTGTCCTCACCCGGCCAGCGTGATCCTCCGAGAGGACTGCCCTGTTAAACATTAAGTGTTCACGCTGCTCTGAAATGTATCACTCCATGTGCACATTCCACACCTGAGAGTTGGGCGTTTTGTGCTGCCCTCTCGTCAGCCTTCTGGACGCTTTCCAAAACTCGCCTCAAGGGGAAAAAAAGTATTTGAACACACAAAGCCGCCTTATGCTGAAGGAGACGTTTGGTCTACCAAGACCAGTCTTGTTCTCCATTCTGAATTGGGTTGCCAACCTCCAGGTGACAACTGGAGATCTCCCACTAAGAACATAAGAGATGCCAATGTTGGATCAGGCCAAAGGCCCATCCCGTCCAACACTCTGTATCACACAGTGGCCAGAAATACCAGTGCCATCAGGAGGTCCACCAGTGGGGCCAGGACATTAGAAGCCCTCCCACTGTTGACCCCCCCAAGCACCAAGATGACAGAGCATCACTTGCCCCAGAGCCCCTATCTATACCTTGTGGCTCATAGCCACTGATGGACCTCTGCTCCATATGCTTATCTAATTCCCTTTTGAAGCCGTCCATGCTTGTAGCTGCCACCACTTCCTGTGGCAGTGAATTCCAAGTGTTAATCACTCTTTGGGTGAAGAAGTACTTCCTTCCAACTGTTACAGTTGATCTCCGGGCGACTGAGATTAGTTCTCCTGGATAAAATGGCCGCTTTGGAAGGAGTACTCTATGGCATTATAGCACATTGAGGACCCTCCCTTTCCTCCTCAGGATCTGCACCCCCCAAACCTCCAGGTATTTCCAAACCTGGAGCTGGAAACCCTAATTCTGAGCAGCTGTGGCTTTCCAGGGTCTTGGATCTTCCCCGTTGCCTACCAGCGAATCCATTTAACGGGGAATCAAACCTGGGACCTTACACAGGCAAAGCAGTCACCCAGTGCAGCTCAACCCCTTACCCAAACCTGGTGGGACTTCTGCCCACCAAGTCACCTCAATATTATGTAAAACTGGCAGCAAAATGGCTCTAGAGTAGGGGAGGCCAAACTTGCTTAACGTAAGAGCCACTCAGAATAAATGTCAGGTGCTTGAGAGCCGCAAGACATGAGCAAGTGTCACGCACACATTTTACTTGATAAATGTGGAAATCTGCTTTTTATTAACATTATAAGTGAGACTGCCAGAAAGACGGAGTGCTCTCTGGGTGCGTTCAGACGCGGCATTTATAACGGAATAGGTGACGATTCCAACCGGTGTACTTACCGGCGTTGCCGTTTACACCGTTGCACTCTGCTACCAGGTCCCAAGTGGTGGTATACAGACTGCAACGGTGGTAAACGATGCACCCCGGCGTCTGATCGCTCTCCACCGGTGCCTAGGCCTTTCCGTCGGAAGCCTGAGGCTTCCGGCTTTCCCCCGCCATTTTATTTTAACTTTATGCGATATGCGCTTGGGCGAAGCTTTGCCCTGAGCGTCTGTTTAAATAAACAAAAAAAAACCTTACTTTACCTTCCCGGAGGAGTCCGGGACTTAAGGGAGGCCAGGTTGGGATTTAAACTTTAAAGGTAAGTGCTTACCTTTAAAGTTTAAATGTAATGGGGGGGGGGAGTTTGAGCATGCGCAAAAATCGCCATTCTCTGAATGGCTGCCTGTGCGCATGCTCAAACTGCTTTAAAAAAACAAACAAACGCCGACGCCCGCAGCGTGTGAGCGGGCGTCCAACGGAGGCATCCGGAAGAAGGAGGGTGAGTCTGATTGCGTTTCTGCCGGCATAAACTGCACCGGTTCCAACCGGTGAACGCACCCTCTGTGTCACGGTGAGAAGAAAAACGGTAGGCAGGTAATTTATATCTACTCAGGAAGGTGGGGTAGGGCTGAGTCATTATCATGTAGGAGTTCCCCTGGCTGTGAAGCATGCTAATGGAGGAGCTTTCCTGAGGAGGTTCTTTTGTGTGATACCTCTGAGGACGCCAGTCACAGCTACAGGTGAAACATCAGGTCCTACAATGCCAAGACCATGGCCACGCAGCCCGGAAAATCTACAACAGCTAATGAACTCCGGCCGTGAAAGCCTTCGACAACATATTTATTTGTTTGCTAATTATATTTCTTTGTCTAAGAGAGAGACAAGGAGAGAGAGAGGGGGTGGAAAGAAAGCAACTTTAAATGTGTTCTCCAAGCCCCCCCCCCCTCATGCTGGCCAGCTTGGCTTGGAGAAGGGATTTAAAGAGACAGATGCCTTCTCCAAGCTGGCCGGTGGGGGAGGGGGGCTTTGAGAACGCATTTAAAGGTAAAGCTGCTTTCTTTCTCTGCTCCCCCCCCAGCAGAGGGAAACACTGGCTGGGGAAGGGAAGACTGACTGGGGAGCCATGCCTCCCCTTCGCTTCCCCAGCCGCCCTGCTGGGAGCCCCACAATATCTGTGAAAGAGCCACATGAGGCTTCCGAGGTGCAGTTTGGCCAACCCTGGACTAGAGGTTCATCCTGGGCAAACAGGTTCTTTCCGGTCATTTATTTCCACCATTCGTATGGAACGTATTTCTTTTTTCACAGAACACACAACCATAGAAGAATACAAGACCGACAGCCGGGGTCTCCGCTTTGAGCCTGTGGGCACCTCTGGAATTTCGAGATGAGCTGGTGAGCGCCATCCCAAAATGGCTGCTGCAAGAGGCGGGGCCAGACACAAGAACTTGCTGTGCAAAAGAATCACGGGGGGGGGGGATGAAGGAAAGCAGGGGGGGAGGGGGGAGAAAGAGAAGGGGGAAGTAAAAAGAAGGAAAGCCCGAAGGGGTGATGGAAACATGAGCTCAGGCGCTTACTAGTCCTGATTTCCCATTGCCACCGTGCAGGGGTCATTTCGTAGAAAAAGAGGTGGAGGAGCTCATTAGCATAACTTATTTGCATATGCCACACCCCCTGACATCACCGGAAGTGTGTCAGAGGGAAACACCTACCACTCAGGCTCCACTGGACTGTTTTGGGTTGCTAGCTATTGGGAGGGGGGAACGTGCAGATCTGTCCTTACAGGGGAGGGAGAGCCTGTACCTGAATAAAACCTGGTCTTAAAGGTACCACTGGACTGTTTTGGATTGCTAGCTACAGGAGGGGGGGGGAACGTGCAGATCTGTCCTCACAGAGGAGGGAGAGCTGGTACCTGAATAAAACTTGGCTTAAAGGTACCACTGGACTGTTTTGGACTTTTTTTGGGGGGGGGCTCTGCAACTTACCTGGCTGCTTCTTGCTCTGACTGAGGGCTGCTGGGAGCAGGGGGTGGGGCTTGTTGCATGTGCCCGCCCCCTGGGCTCTTTACTGCCGGAGCTCCGCTCCTGCATGCTCGTGTAGGAAATGACCCCTGCCGCTGTGAAAAGACCTTTCATTTGAATGAGGGCAGCTGATCATCAGCCCTTCCTTACAAAGTTTGGTGGCGCCAGGAGAATTACTGGTGGGGGCCAAGGTGCCCACGGGCACCCTGTTGGGGAACCCTGAATGAGAGTTCGTTGACTGACTCTGTGCTGTCTGCTGGGATGCCCTCCCTGCCGGGAGGCAGAAAGCAGGTGAGAAACCAAGAAATCAGATCTTACAAACAAATTGGCATTTGTTATTTGTCTTTGCTAGACTATGCAGAATTTGATGCACAAATCATATAGAGACAATGTAGGGATTCCAACCTCCAGGTGGGGCCTGGAGTTCTCTATTGGAATTTCAGTCGACCTTCAGGATATAGTGAGGAAATGGCTGCTTTGGAGGGGAGGATTCTATGCCATTACACACCGCTGAAGTCTCTCCCTTCACCCAAACTGCCAGGCACTCCCCCCAAATCTACAGGAATTTCCCAGGCTGGAGTTGGCAACCCTAGGAGGTGTTTGCAATCTTTCAGCACCCTAGGGTTGCAAGAAGAATAAGAATAAACGGAAGCAGCACCAGCAGCACCAGAAGAAGAGGAGGAGAGTGTTGGTTTTTATACCCCGCCCTTCACTACCCAGAGGAGTCTCGGAGCAGCTTACAATCGCCTTCCCTTCCTCTCCCCACGACAGGCACCCTGTGAGGGAACTCTGAAAGAACTGCTCTTGAGAGAACAGCTCTGTGAGCGCTGTGACCGACCCAAGGTCACCCAGCTGGCTTCATGTGGAGGACGAGCGGGGAATCGAACACTGTTCTCCAGATTAGAATCTGCTGCTCTTAAGCACGACACGAAGCTGGTCCTGGAAGGGAGGCTGGGAGGTCTCCCCAGACCACAACTCATCTCCAGGCTATGGAGCTTCCCGAGAGGAAACGGCAGCTTCCAAGGGTAGACCCCAGAGAGGATCACGTCCCTACTGGGCCCTTTCCCCTCACCAAACTCCACCCTTCCCTGCCACTGCCCCCACCCCCCGATCTCCACTCAGTACCCGAAGGAGTCTCAGAGTGGCTTAAAAACTCCTTTCCCTTCCCATCCCCACAACAGACACCCTGTGAGGTAGGTGGGGCTGAGAGAGCTCTGACAGAAACGGCTCTTTTTCAAGAACAGCTCTGACAGAACTACGGCTCGCCCAAGGTCATCCAGCAGCTGCACGTGGAGGAGTGGGGAATCAAACCCGGTTCTCCCAGATTAGAGTCCACACGCTCCTAACCACTACACCAACCTGGCTCTCACACCAAACTAGCTCTCAATGCCGTATAGTCCACCCTACAAAACACCCATGTTCTCCAGGGGAACGGATCGCTGTAGTCTGGAGACGAGCAGTAATTCCAGGGGATCCCCAGGTCCCATCGGGCGGCTGGCATCCCTACCAGTGGGCAACTTTGGGCCAGTCACCCACTCTCAGCCTAACCTACCGCACAGGGTTGTTGTAGTGCGGGTAAATCGAAGGTGAGGAGGAGGATGTAAGCCGTTTTAGGTTCCCATTGGGGAAGAAGGTGGGCTATAGGCAAACTCAATACACGAACAAATAATCTCTGACACTCACGATCAGCACAAAGACCCCCAGGAGTTCCGCTAGGCACTGGCGAAGGAGGAGGTTGCGGAGACGGAGGCAGCCCCGTGCCTTGGCGAAGAAGCGGGCGTAAATCATTGCCAGGCGGGTACAGGGAGCCGACAGTGTGGAATCAAGGGCCCCGGACGCAGCTTTTTATACCAGCGCCACTCGATTGTTTCCGATGATAATCACTAGTTATACCATTTGACACGCACTGATTGACTGCCCGGGCCAATTGCGTAAGGAGAGTGCAAAGGGGCACGGACCCTGAATATCAGCTGGCAAGAGCTTTGGCAGAGGTTCTGATGCCCAACCCCTCCTGCTGTTGGAATTATGACCTCTGCAGCGGCAGGGCCTGCTTCATCTCTTCAAAGGATGTTGGCCTCGGTGAGGTTCTGCAGGAGATTCGCACATGCCACTGCGGGGAAGCATCTTCTTGCTCCGGGGACCATTCAAAAACTGCCACCTCCCCAGGAGCAGGACCACCAAGCTCTTTCCCTGCGCGCCCTGCGGATCTGGCGGCACCAAGCTTCCGACCAAACATGTGCCGAGTTCGCCACGGGTGCCCCTTTCATATTTTAGAAAGGGTGTGTTGTACGTGTATCGGGTACACATGCTGTCCTCTTGTGTGTGTACACAACATATCCAAAAGAACAGAAAACATTGCCCCGTCTGACACAGAGATGGGAAAAACCTATCAGGCTCCTTCAGACTTGGCCATCTTAGAAACAAAATGGAGTCACTTTGGTCAAGGAGAAAACAGTGACTACACAAATCATATAAGGCCCATTTCTTAGGGTTGCCAACTCTCGGTTGAGAAACATCTGGAGATCTGAGCAGTGGAGCCTGGAGAAGGTGGGGTTTGCGGAGGAGAGGGACCTCAGTATGGCACGTCCCCATCGCGTCCACCCTCCAAAGCAGCCATTTCCCCCATGGGAATTGATCTCTGCAGTTGCAGTTGCAAAAGCAAACCTCCAGGCCCCACTCAGAGGTTGGCAACCCCGGGTACCACCTCAAACGCCAGGAATTTTTTCAGGAGGGAGTTGAGCAATCCAGTGCCCAGCAACCTTCCTCCTGTCCCCAAATCCTGTCCTCTCCAGACTCTACCCCCAAATCTCCCCGAATTTCTCAACCACTCAGCCCCCCGGGGACGAGGGGGACCCTGCCCTGCAGGGAGGTTCACTGCTTTCTCCCAAACACAGCCAATGCTTCCTCTAAGCTGTGGAGTCTTGTGAGCAAAAATTCTACTTTGTGAGGTACTGGCATTAAAGTTGGGAGCGAGCGATTTGGCTGCTGCATCAGTTAGTTTGCTCGGGAGCCCTCCTTTCGGAGCGAAGACGAAAATGTGTGAGCCGGAGGCTAAAAAACTGTGAGCTATCTCCAGGCGTTCCGTACACCTTGGTGTTTAGTCATGCCGGCCACATGACCACGGAAACGTCTTCAGACAGCGCTGGCTCTTCGGCTTTGAAACGGAGATGAGCACCGCAACCCTAGAGTCGGATTTGACTGGCTTTACCTTTACCTTTATCTCCACACTAACTCAGCTTAGAGGGAACACCGATCGCAGCTCTCTGCCTGCCTCTCCCAAACTCAAACAACTCTTTCCAGGCACACACCCACGCCCTGCCCTCCCGCCAACCCACCTCGCTCAGAGAGGGGCAGGGTTCACCTTCTCCGAGCTCTGATGGGTAACTGAGCAGCCCAAGCAGGAAACCCTCTCTTAACCATTAGCTCCCGTTCATCAAACATCAGCCAAGAATTCGAGGGGCGGGGAGGGGAGGGGAGGCCCCGCGTGAGTCCGTTACGGGGAAAACAGCCTCGTGGGACTTTCAACACTTCCCCCCTGCTATCTTATCCTTTTGGGGGGTTTTGCGTTGTTTTGGCGTCAAGTCGCAGCTGGCTTATGGCAACCCAGTAGGGTTTTCAAGGCAAGAGAGGTTCAGAGGTGTGTAACTATATGAACTTATGTTTGTGTTTCTGTATAGTGGTGATGCTGTCTATGTGTGTCTATGCATTGTGTATTCAGGGACTGCTGTTTGGTTGTGTTGCTTTGTTCTGTATCTCATGCTTGCCTAGAAATAGGCTGGCCTGGGGCTGCGTTGCACATACAGACCATGTGCTTCCCTGGAGAAGGTATCCCGTCCTGCATCGGGATAGAGGAGACACCGCGCCATTGCACCCACTTGGAGAGTTATGGAAAATCCCCCAGCGAACCCCGACATCACCGGAATGCCAGGAATCACGTAACCCTCTGCACCTAATCTGGTTTGGATAGCCCATGCCCCAAAAAGAGTTTATTTAAGGAGAAACTCTCCTTTGTCTCTCTGGTTAACCCACCCTTCCCATAGCAGTGCACTAAGGTGCTACAAGTGACTCTACTACCTAAGTTCTCCGGAGTCGCGACCCAGAGAGCTCACACGTGGTTTGGCTGGTCCTACCTGTGTGCCTTGGAGTTCACAAGCTGCTGCTTTCGGCTGCCCATCCTTCCAAGGAGGAGAGTTCTTCCTCAGCTGGACCTCAGATGAGTATAGCCGTGCCCCATTGTGTCTTCCCCATTTTGATGCTTTTGTTATTTTCTATGCTGTAATTGTTCTGATGCATTATTGTAACTAAGGAGCTTGTATACCTGTGAGAGTGATTCTGATTTTGTATGACTGCAGAAACCTTTAGTAAAGACAACATTTATTCTTAATCCTAGCGTGTTGTCTCACTTCCTGGGATATAGCGAGCGTCTTATTGGCCATCTGACCTCTGTATAGACTGGTATAGAACTTACGCACAGCCACAACCACCCAACTTCCTTGGTAGATAACTTGGATTGGGTCTCCAGGAATTTCCTGGAGAAGTTGGCATAACAGGTGGTTTAGAACAAGAGAACATAAGAGAAGCCAGTGTTGGATCAGGCCAATGGCCCATCCAGCCCCACGCTCTGCGTCCCACAGTGGCCAAAAATTCCAGGGGCCTGCCTCTGTGGAATAACCCTGGACTTCCTTGGCGGTCTCCCATCCAAATACTGACCCGGGCCGACCTTGCTTGGCTTTCCGACTCTGACAAGATCAGGCCAGCCTGGGTCATCCAGGTCGGGTCAGCTTGCCAACCTCCGAGGGCACCTGGTTTATCTCCTGCTATTACAATTGATCTCCAGATGACCAAGATCAGCTCCCCCGGAGGAAATGGCTGCTTTGGAGAGAAAGTCTCTATGGCAGGGGTGTCAAACAGGTAGCCCGGGAGCTGGATCAGGCCCCCGGAGGGGCTTCCATCAGGCCCGCAGTGGAGCCAGCCATCTCCTGCTTCCAGTCCTGCTGCTGCTGCTGCATCATGGCTTGCTTCGCCAGACTCTCTTAATCGCTCGGCCATTTCATGTTTCAACCTGGGTCCTAGACTCAGAACTCTGAGCATGAGATCTCTGTGGCGAATGTCAATGAATCAAAAGGAGGTTTGCAGCTTACAGAGCTCACATTTTAAGCATGTTTCTATTTTAAGTTAAAAAAACCCGTTTGTGTTTGTGTCCTTTATAAAGTTTATCTCTCTCCGCTACCTGGCATTACATTTTATGACACACACGGCCCGGCCCGACAAGATCTCATCTATGTCAGATCAGGCCCTCATAACAAATGAGCTCGACACCCCTGCTCTATGGCATTATCACCCTCCGAGACCCCTCCCCTCCCCAAACAATGCCCATCCCAGGCTCCACCCCCAAAACCTCCAGGTACTTCCCTTAGGCCAGGGCTTTTTATTGTTTTAGTTTTTAAATTTTGCTGTCAGGTTGGCTAAGGCTTATGGCAACCCCATAGGGTTTCCCAGGCAAGAGGCATTCAGAGGTGGTTTGCCATGGCCTGCCGCTGCATAGCACTAGGGTTGCCATTCCCCCAACGGGGACGGGGGGGGGGGTTTACCATCTTTTGGGGGGCCTGATCCGCTGCAGCCCAGCAGGGGGAGCTCTGCCCCCAAAGAGCTCCATCCGTGCCAACGTGCCCAGTGTGATGGCATCATCTGGAGGTGATGTCATCGCACAGGGCATGTCACGCGGGGGACACTCTAGCATTTGAGAAGAAACTCTATGGTTACCATAGAGTTTCCCCTCAAGCACTTTAGGCTATGCACCAGACGCTGGCCATTGGGCCAACAGAAACCTCTCTGTGTGTTGAGTCCCGTCAAGGCGCTCCTGGTTTAAGGCAACTCTATGAATGAACGACCTCCAATACATCCCACTGTTGACAGCCTTGCTTGGGTCTTGCAAACGGAGGACTGTAGGCTTCCTTGGCTGAGTCAACCCCTCTCGTGTTTGCCTGCTGCCTTCCACTTTTCCTGGAAATACTGTCTTCCCCAGTGTCTCTTGTCTTCTCAGAAGGTGACCAAAGTACAATAGCCTCAGTTTAGTCATTTTAGCTTCTACGGAGAGTTCAGGCTTGGTTTGATCTAGTACCCGCTGGTTTGCCTTTCTGGTGGACCACGGTATCCGTAAAACCCTCCTCCTCCGACACCACATTTCAAAGGAATCCAATTTATTCCCGTCAGCTTTCTTCATTGTTCAGCTCTCACACCCATACATAGTAACGGGGAATGGCACGGCATGAATTAATTTATCTTTATCGCCAGTGACACACTGAATCATAGAGTTGGAAGGGACCTCCAGAGTCATCTAGTCCAACCCCCTGCACGATGCAGGAAATTCACAAGTACCTTCCCCTCCACACTCCCAGTGACCCATGCCCAGTTTGGTGTAGTGGTTAAGTGTGCAGACTTTAATCTGGAAGAACCGGGTTTGATTCCCCGCTCCTCCACTTGCAGCTGCTGATGACCTTGGGTCAGTCACAAGTGCTCTCAGAGCTGCCCTTGAAACAGCAGTCCTCGAAAGAACTCTCTCAGCCCCACCGACCTCACAGGGTGTCTGTTGTGGGGAGGGGAAGGGAAAGGAGACTGTAAACCGCTCTGAGACTCCAAGTGAAGGGCGGAGTATAAATCCAATCTCCTCCTCCTCTTTTTCTTCTAAAAAGCCCTCCAGGATCTCTGGCCAAACTGGCCTGGAGGAAAATTGCTTCCTGAACCCAAAATGGTGATCAGCATTTCCCTGGGCTTGTAAGAAAGGGCCA